GGTCAAGAAGACCGTAGGCAGGAGAGGACGCAGGTGGGTGGCACGGACGAACCCGCACCTAGCCTCGCGAGTGCTCCAGGCCAATAAACGCTGTCCCCCCTCTGATTGGTTGGCGGACGCGGAGACAACGAAAGGCGCACACATGCGCTGGGTCTCAGCACCACGAAGGCGGACACAGACAACAACTTGCCTGGAGAGCGTGCTCGCGGCGACTGCTCAGAGAGCCTTTGTGTACGCACCTCCAGAACTATAAAGGTTGCTCAACTCACTCCGTCTTCCCTGACTTATGACTGGGAATCTTTGTCCTGCCGAACACACTAATTTCGACAGTACCACCACACCTCCCAGTCCACATCAAACACTTGACCAGGATCTTAACCAACGACAGCGCAACGACGAGTAAAAAAATGAGGATGACTGGACAACCATGCACAAGACCTGCAGACCTGGTGGGAGCGCAAGCGTATCTACCGGCAGGGAAACAGGTTTCAGAGAGGTTGCGAGGGCCATGGTTTGCTGAATCATATAACAGCAGAAGCTCACAATCCTTAAGGCCTAGAAGGGTGAGACACAGCCCCGTACTGAGCTTGAATCATCACTCCTCAAAGGCCGGGTAACCAGTCAATCATCGACTGAGAGGAACTATCCATAAGGCCCCCACACAGAGACTCCTCGCATGCACGAGGGTGCCAGAGGCCACTTTAAGAAAGAGCCACGACAGTCTGGCTTTCAGCCCCCCAGTTCGCCACTCCCCACAAACACACAGAGCTGGGCAGACTGCCTGGACTGAGCTGAGGCGTCAACTGGCAGCCTTCCGCGCCACGTGATAGTCTCAGACTCGGATCACACATGCGACAGAGGGACTGCATGGAGAAGGAGTCGAGGGGCACACTTCCCACTTAAGTGGGAGGTGGTAATCGAGTCCTTTGCTAGTGAGGTAAGATGTGATGGTGTCGTGTAGCCAGCGGTTGTCCACCGCAGGTTTTCACGAGTGTGCAGGGGACCTAGTAGGCCTATGCAGTGAGTGTGCGTACCGTGGCAGTGTGGACAGCGGAGTCCGATGTGTCGAGCGAATGTACATGTTCCAAGCGCTGGTTCGCCAGTCTCTGTGCGATGGATTTGCAAGTGACGGACCAGGCCAATGCGTATGGGGATGGACGATCGCGGTGAGGACAGGTTTTAACGAGTCACATCACTGGTGCCGGTAGTAATGAGGCTGATATTTGACGGTGCATCAGGATTGTGCGCAATGGTAGTGGGCGCAGGAACCACTGCAGCAGAGGTTAAGGCGGCGAAAATGGTAAATGATGGCGACGCGGGGTCAGGAGCGTTGTAAGGATGGATTATCGATAGGAAGGCGGAACGGAGATGGAAGCGAAGTAAAAATGAATGGTGAGGCATCAGGTTGTGTCGTCCGAATGCTGCAGTTGGTCCTCAGATGTCCAATAAGACCAATTTGCGCCCGGAACGTTCACTGACACCGTGGGCATGTTAGGGCGGTTGCGTGTTGGCGGTGCGAGGCGGGCAGTTGGGATTTGCAGGCTTCGCGTTTGGCTTTGGCGTCGGTTAGACGGTTGCCTTCGTAGATCGCCACACCTGTCTTCACTGTCTTCCTCCAGGCCGGCCGGTTCAATACGAGGTCCTCCCATTTGGTTGCGTTGGTCTGCAAGCGCTTTAATGAAGTCTTCAGAGTGTCCTTGGAGCGTTGGATTTGGCCTCCTTGTCGGCGAGTACCCGTGGAGACATCTTCATAGAGGAAATTTTGGGCAGCCACTCGTCGTCCATCCACACGAGGTGGATGAGGCAGATGCCTCAGAATGACCTCGATTCAGGGGATTCCTGTTCCGTTTCAGTTCTCCAGTGTCTGGAATCCGGTCCTGCCACCTTTATCTTAGTATCTACCGAAGACGGCTGAGGTGGAAGTGGTTGAGTCTTCGCACCTGCTTCTTGTACACCGTCCAGGTCTCCGGTCCATAGAGCAACGTCGGCAGGATGTTGACGTGCTGAGGTGGAGACCGTGGCGATTCCAGACTGTGCTTTGCAGCCGGCCGAAGGCTTGACTGTCGGCGGAAATCCGGCGGGCCACTTCATCGTCGACTTTGGTGTTACAGGTGAGGGTGCTGCCCAGGTAGGTGAAAGTATCCACGACTTGCAGTTGGGCGCCGTCCACGTTGATATGGGGTGTGTTGAAGGCAGCGTCGGGTGGCGGTTGATGCATGAACATCGTCTTCTCCGTGTTGATGACCAGGCCGAAGTTGTTGAAGTCAGCAGCGAAGGGGTCCATGTTCCTTTGCATGCCCCCTTCGGAGACGGTGTTTAGGGCGCAATCGATGGCGAAGAGAAGTTCGTGAACGGCAGTTGTGGATATACGTGAATAGATGTGCAGCCGCCGACGACTGAGGAGTTGGCCGTCCGTCCTGTAGGCGATATGGATTCCGGGGCGTTCATCACGACAGATGTCCATTAGCATGGCAGAGAACATAAGACTGAAGAGGGTAGGCGCCAGCACGCATCCCTGCTTCACTCCGTTGGTCACTTCGAATGCCATTGAGACAGCTCCGGTAGAAGGCTCTGTTCTAGATGATTATTCAGGCGGTTGAGAAGGATGCGAGCGAAGATCTTCCCGGCGATGACGCGGGCCTGCATCACACCGTTTTTCACTGCGAGTGCTTCTGAGATGGCACCATTGTCTGTGACACGCGCCGTCATGTCATCGTGCAGCTGATGTACCATCTGAGTAAATCGTTCGGGACACCCGAATTTCTGCATGATTTTCCACAGTTCTTTGCTATTTCCCGTGTCAAAAGCTTTCGCCGGATCTACAGAGGTACCGTACAGGTGAATCCGCATCTCCTGACACTTCTCCTACAGTTGACGGGCGGGGAAGATCATGTTGGTGGTGCCATGATGGCGACGGAAGTCGTGCTAGCTTTCAGGCAGGAGTCCTTGCTCCAGATGGTTGTCCATGGGGTTGAGGCGGACGCGAGCGAAGATCTTTCCGGCAACTTTGAGCAGTAAGATTCCACCGTTGTTGCCGCAGATTTGGCGGGTCCTCTTCCGCTTTTATGGAAAGACGATTTCGACTCCTTGAGATCCTTAGGGACTTTTTTTGGGACCACATTGTCTGGAAGAGCGCAGTCAGGTGGTTCATAAGTTGAGGTTGGCCGTACTTGTAGATCTCAGCAGGGATCGCGTGCAATCCGGGTGCTTCCCCGCTGGAGAGTTGCTGCATGGCCCTGGTATTTGGGGGGGAGAGGGGGCGGGAGGTCGACGTTGATCTCTACTTGAGGCAGCCGGTCGATAGCGCCGTCAGAGACGGTGCAGGGGCGGTTGAGGACGCCTCTGAAATGTTTGACCCATCGCTTCAGAATTTGCGTCTTCCCAGTGAGTAGGGCAGTTCCGTCGGCGCTGAGAAGAGTTGCGGTTCTTTTGACTGTGGGGCCGTAGACAGCCTTGGTCGCGGCGAAGAAGTTCTTCCTTTCGTTGTCGTCCACGTACCCTTGGATCTACTCAGCCTTGCGAGTCATCCAGGAGTCCTGCATATCCCACAGCCGCTTTTATACAAGTCGGCGATATCGGTAGAAGGCGGCTTTGTTTGGGTCGGCAGAGGGGTTAACATAGGCTTTGTGAAGCTGGTTCTTCTCGGCGAGCAGGTTGCTGATGGCGGTGTCCTTTTCGTCAAACCGGTCCTGGTGCTGGTGACTTGCACGGCCGAGGACAGCCAGGGCGACTGGCTGGACCATGTCCCTCAGTTGGCTCCATTGGTTCTCCAGGGAGGCGTTCTCGTCGGTGGAGGCGGTAACTGGAATGTCGACTAGCCGCTGTGCCAGCTCGTTTCGGAAATGGAGATGCCGAGAAGACACATTCAACAAACAGCATTTAACTTACCCGGTAATTGCGCACCTTGAGGTCTCCTGCGTGGTTGTAGGCGGATTCTCATTTTTGAGCTGACGACGCGATGGTCGGTCCACCCGTCGGCATCTGGGATCGCCTCTGTCATCAGCATGTCTCGCTGGTCTCACCTCTGGTCGAGGACACAATTCAGTAGGTGAAAATTTCGCTCTTGAGAGTGCATCCAGATCGCCTTCTCCCGTGTCGGAAGGCGGAAGAACGTGTTTGTCACGATAAAGTGGCGCTCTGAGCAGGTTCGCAGTTGGGACAGGCCATTGCCATTGAAGCCGTCAAGAACTTGGGGATCCAGCACTCCCCTCCAGGGAGCACGGCATGTGCCGACGCGGCCAGCAAAGGACAATTAATTTATCCGCCTTCGGCACAGTCGCCGGGAGGGCGTGCAAGCCCTCGTATAATTTGTTCCTTGCACCAACAGGGGTGGTTATCGGGGGAGCGTAGACGCTGACGATGGTGGCGAATTTGCCTCCCCGGATAGGCAGGCAGAGTCTCATCAGCCGGTCGTTGATGCTCTGCAGCAGACAGGGCATTGGTCCCACGATGTCATACCGGAAAGCAAAGCCGACGCCGGCTTCATGTCGCCCTATCTTTGGGCGGCTGCTCCAGAAGAAGGTGTAGCCGCCACCCGTCTACTCCAGTTGGCCTTGTTCGGAAAATCAGGTTCGCTGAGTGCGGCGATGTCCACCTTGTAGCTCGTCAGTTCTAAAGCGATTAGCGCCGTCCTCCACTCCTGTCGGTTGCTCTACTTAGAGTTTAAAAGGGGACGAAAATTGCAGGCTGTCAGAGTTAGCGGATTCATCCAAGCAGCGTGTGGAGTGGGGCGGAGGGATGGAGGAGGAGGAGGAGGAGGAGGAT